CCAGGATGGTCTCGATCAATTGACCTCGTGATCCACCCGCCTCGGCCTCCCAAAGTGCTGGGATTACAGGCGTGAGCCACCGCGCCCGGCCTAATTTTTGTATTTTTAGTAGAGATCGTGTTTCACCATGTTGGCCAGGAAGACCTCAATCTATTGACCTCATGATCTGCCCGCCTTGGTCTCCCAAAGTGGTGAGATTACAGGCATGAGCCACCATGCCTCACCGTGCCTGGCAGAGGTTCCTGGATTCTTGAAGCCCAAAGAAGGTAAAGGACTTGGCCAAGGTTACACAGCCAGCCAGCAGCAGAGCCAGAACTTGAACTCAAGGCTCCTGATGCCTTGTTAAGGGATTGGCTGGACAGGGTGACAGCAGCTGCATGATGAATGTTCTGTCTCAGGAGGTAGCATTGCAGTGGTTGTTTTCTAGCATTATATCATACTGGCTACGTCTTGTACCAGCTAAGTGAATTGAGAAATTCTGCTGAGCGCGGTGGCTCACGCCTGTAATCCCAGCACTTTTGGGAGGCTGAGGCGAACAGATTGCTTGAGGCCAGGAGTTCAAGACCAGCCTAACCAACAATGTGAAAACCAGTCTCTGATAAAAATACAAAAAATTAGCTGGATATGGTGGTGCATGCCTGTATTCCAGCTACTCAGGAGGCTGAGGCACAAGAGTGGCTTGAATCGGGGAGGGAGATGCTGCAGTGAGTCGAGACCACCCATTGCACTCCAGCCTGGGCGACAGAGTAGGTCTCTGTCTCAAAAAATAAAATAAACAGGGAAGGCTGGGCTCAGTGGCTCATGCCTGTAATCCCAGCACTTTGGGAGGCCGAGGTGGTGGATCACTTGAGGTCAGGAGTTTGAGGCCAGCCTGGCCAACATGGTGAAACTCTATCTCTACCAAAAATATAAAAATAAGCTGGCATCCCAGCACTTTAGGAGGCCAAGGCAACTGGATCATGAGGTCAGGAGTTCAAGATCAACCTGGCCAAGATGGTGAAATCCCACTTCTATTAAAACTGCAAAAATTAGCCAGGTATGGTAGCAGGTGGCTGTAATGCCAGCTACTCAGAAGCCTGAGGCAGGAGAATTGCTTGAACCCAAGTGGCAGAGATTGCAGTGAGCCGAGATCGCGCCACTGCACTCCAGCCTGAGCAAGAGTGAGACTCAATCTCAAAAAAAAAAAAAAAAAAAAAAAAAAAAAAAAAAAAAAAAAAAAAAGGACCTTCTCAAAAATAAAAATAAACAGGTTATCAGTGGGCTGATATTTATGAGGCCCTTAACAGATGCCTGCCACATAGTAAGCACTCAGATATGTGAGACCTTTTCATCATTGTCTGGATTTTTGAGCCAAGATGGGTGGGGTGGCAGGAGATGGGCTGCTGGTGGGGAGGAGGAGAGCCACCGTGCCATGAGGGCTGACTGTGTGTCAGGTGCTGTGCTGCCTCTCTGAGTTCTGAATGTCTTTGGGAAGCTTCTAGGCTCTGAAGAAGTGACTCATAGGGATCGGGTGGGTGGACAGAGGGAAAGGGGCTGCTCATCAGTTTTGTTTTTGAGACAGAGTCTCACTCTGTTGCCTGGCTGGAGTGCAGTGGTACAATCTCAGCCCACTGCAACCTTAACCTCCTGGGTTCAAGCGATTCTCGTGCCTCAGCCTCCAGCTGGAATTACAGGCAGCCACCACCACGCCCAGCTAATTTTTGTATTTTTAGTATAGACGGGGTTTCACCATGTTGGTCAGGCTGGTCTTGAACTCCTGGCCTCAGGTGATCTGCCTGCCTTGGCCTTCCAAAGCATGGGATTACACCTGTAGGTGTGAAGCACTGCTCCCAGCCTCACTCATCAGTTTTTTTTTTTTTTTGAGACAGAGACTCATTTTATCGTCAGCCTGGAGTGCAGTGGCGCAATCCCGGCTCACTGCAACTTCCATTTTCTGGTTTCAAGCAATTCTCCTACCTCAGCCTCCCAAGTAGCTGGAACTACAGGCACATACCACCACACCCGGCGTTTTTGTTTTGTTTTTTTTGAGACACAGTCTCTCTCTGTCACCAGGCTGGAGTGCAGTGGCACGACCTCAGCTCAGTGTAACCTCCGCCTCCTGGGTTCAAGCAATTCTCCTGCCTCAGCCTCCCGAGTAGCTGGGACTACAGGCGTGCGCCACCATGCTCGGCTAATTTTTTTGTATTTTTAGTAGAGACGGAGTTTCACCATGTTGGCCAGGATGGTCTCAATCTCTTGACCTCGTGATCCACCCGCCTCGGCCTTCCAAAGTGCTGGGATTACAGGCATGAGCCACCGCGCCAGGCCGCGCGCGCGTGCGTGCGTGCGTGTGTGTATTTTTAGTAGAGATGGGGTTTTACCATATTGGCCAGGATGGTTTTCCAAACTGCTGTGATTACAGGTGTGAGCCACTGCGCCCCACTCATGTTTTAAAGATGAGGGATGGAAGTGATGGCAGCCTGGAGAGGACAATGCTGTCCTAAAGCATCTGTCTCCAAAGACTCTTTACTGAAAGTGGCTGTTATTAAATCCCTCTAATGTGCTACTTACTGTGGGCAGTAAAATGATGGACACTAAGTCGGGATTGGAAATGAAATGAACCTATCTTCATGCTTGATAAATCAGGGAGCTCTTCTGCCCTGCCACTCTTCCCTATCTTTTGAGCACAGGCTCAAGAGGTACACTGGCTGACAGCAGACTCCCAGCCCTGTCACTCTGAACTGGGTGACTGTGGATACATCTCTTACTGCTCCAGGCCGCGGCCTCCTCATCTGCAAATCAGGAATGATGATAAGACCTAACTGCCAGTGTTGTCCTAAGGAGTAAGTGAGATACTTCACAAAGAGCTCTTAACACAGTGCCTGGCCCAAAGAAAACACACACACACAAAGTTGAGTGTGATTATTTTTACTGCTGTATCATCCAGCCACTTCCTGTTTCACAGAAATGTCAAGGTGATTCACACTGCAATGAAAACCAAAAAAAAAGAATAGCTGACCCCTTTTCAGTGCCTGTGAGTGTGAAAACACAAATGACGTAAGTTATGTTTTTCAGAGGCACAGCAATGTGGCATAGGCCACTTGTTGCCATCCACCAAATGAGCCAGCCCAGGGGGAGCTGTATTGAGCTGCGTGTGACTGAGCTCCTGTGGCGTGCTCTGTCACCCAAGAAAGAGCCTAATTACAGCCATGTCATCAGTGCCACAAGGAGGGACAAATGTTGGACTGGATCACATGAAGGTGTGATCTTTTTCTCTTCTTTTTAGACACGGTCTCACTCTGTGGCCCAGGCTGGAGTGCAGTGGCAGGATTTCTGCTCTCTGCAACCTCTGCCTCCCAGGTTCAAGCAATTCTCCTGTCTCAGCCTCTTGAGTAGCTGGAACTACAGGCTCACCCCACCATGCCTGGCTAATTTTTGTATTTTTAGTAGAGATAGGGGTTTCGCCAATTTGGCCAGGCTAGTCTTGAACTCCTGACCTCAACTAATCTGCCCGTCTCAGCCTCCTAAAGTGCTGGGATTACAGGTGTGAGCTACCAAGGCTGGCTGAAGGTATGGTACATTCTATCAGCGAGGGAAGGGTCTGAGAGAGCCCAAGCCTACTGCTCTGCAGACACTGGCCTGTTCACTGTGACTGCTGTGAATAGGCTTTACCACCAACACTTGTGAGCACCTTCTATGTCAAGGACTGTGAAGCATCTGAGATTTTACCCAATTTGCAAGCTAACAAGGTAGCCCATCAGGTTCATGGATGCTGGCAGAATACATGAGTCCTTCACAGAGACTTTATCACTATGCAGCAAACAGCATGAGCACCAGCATATTTCCATCAGTTCCTGTTGACCCTAAGTCCCATGGGGGTGACTCTGATAGGCTCATGTAGATGTGAGCACACAGAGTGAACTGCATTGCAGGAGAGGACACTGAGCTTAGGAAACTCAAAGCCAATAAGCATGCCTGTCCTCTGCTCTGAAGGGAGACACTATCTCCATCTTCCATGGCTATTCCCTAGATAAATATCTTTGAAGCTGGGTGCGGTGGCTCATGCCTGTAATCCTAGCACTTTGGGAGGCTGAGGCAGGCAGATCATCTGAAGTTGGGAGCTTGAGACCAGCCTGGGCACCATGGTGAAACCCTGTCTCTACTGAAAATACAAAAAAAAAAAAATTAGCCAGGTGTGGCAGTGCATGCCTGCAATCCCAGCTACTCGGGAGGGTGAGGCATGAGAATCACTTGAACCTGGAAGGTGGAGGTTGCAGTGAGCTGAGATTGCGCCACTGCACTCCAGCCAGGAGATTAGGGTGATATTTGTTCCCCCAGCGCCCTCCCTGCAGGCTTCAGGGGACCAGTGGCTGTGAGTCTCCGCTGTAGGCCACAGCTCGTGGGCAGCCCTCCCTGGTTATGCCAATGGAGCAGTGTGCACTGGAGTGATGTCCCTCAGTCCCTAGCCTCAGTGGTTTCAGCTATTTCCTGCGGAGGCCCTGAGAGATGAAAGAATTTGGTTGGGTATCATTTGAGTCAGGCATCATTACTGGACTGGACTCTTTCATTGTTCCCTGTCACTGAGTCCCCTCCACAGACCCTGAAGAAGGGTTGTCATCTCCCATCCTACTGGCAGCAGCTTTAGACACCCAGGGCCACAACCTCCTCCTGGCTCTTCCCCACCACACTCCTGGTTTTCCTCTCTGCTCCCACCAGCTGCTCTTTCTGGTCTCTGGCCTGACTCTACCTCCTCTGCCTGACCTGGGAATGGTGACCTCCCCGGGGCACCCTGGACTCTCTTCTCTCCATAGTAAGCCCACCCTTTCCCACTGTCGTAGATGCCCCCTGTATAATCCCAAGCCTCTGTCTCCAGGCCAGATGTCCTGCCTGAGCTGCTGACTCCCGAGTTCAGGAGCCTCCACTTGGATGACTCACGAGCATGTCAAACTCAGCAGGGCTGGAACGGAGCTGTGGACCTTGCCTGTGTTTTCAGCTCCTCTGCCTCCCCTCTTCCTCACCCATCGAAAGATCAGGCCAGGAAGTGGGGGCCATTCATGTCACCCGCCTCCCCAGCACCCCTACTTCACCCAGTCTTTGCATCTCACTTCCCAAATACAACTCCCTGGGGCCAAGTGAGATTTGCTCTCCTGGGATGAAGGCAGGGCGCCCTGACACAGTCCCACTGCAATGAATATATAGGGGATAATACCCCATACAAGGTTGTCATGAGGAGTAAATTGAAGAGATTAAGTGGGAGGACTCAGACCTAGGGGTCTTTATAGGTGCCAGGCAGCATAGACAGTTGAGTGGACATCGGCCATGATGGTAACATAGTCGGTGCACTGAAGAATTCAGAGTAGGGCTGGGATCTGGAGATGGTAATAACCTGGGGGTCTGTGCATGCAGGCTGGAGTCCAAGAGATGGTTCAGAGAAAGTTCCTCTAGTCAGCCTAAGGCTGGGTGCTGTGGCTCACTGCTGTAATCTCAGCACTTCTGGAGGCTGAGGTGGGAGGATCGCTTGAGTCTAGGAGTTGGAGACCAGCCTGGGCAACATGGCAAAACCCCATCACTACAAAAAAAAAATACAAACAAAACAAAGCAAACAAAAAAAGCGGTGGCTCTAGTCAGCCAGATAGAAACGACTTGGGGTGCAGGCTCTAAGGTACACAGCTGCCCAGAAGCCTGGCTGGTAGATGGAGATGTGAACGGGGCACAGGGCTCTCTAGGTGAGCAGGAGGCAGCAAAAATGACACTTCCAGGGGGTCTACATGGGAGGAAGATGGGGCCAGGAGGAGGGCACTTCAGGCCAGACTGAGGGAGAATGTGCCATCCCGAGGAGACTGCTGATGTAATTATGAAAGTCTATGTCCTAGTTCCTGTAACACTGCCCTGGTGTACAACCTCGAGCCACTGCAGACTGCACGTCTGAGGACCCCTGCCTGCCCTGTCTGGCTTCTCTGAACCTAATAAGGGAGAGGATACATATGGAAAAAGAACACAGAAGAGAAAGACAAAAAAAAAGCACCAAGGTCCATGTTCAGATAGCCCTGGTAATTTTAACTTGCAGCTCACCCAAGAAGAGCTTAACGGTCGCGAGAGTATATAAGAAGCCCCCACCCGACCCTGCCCAGCACGCAGCACCCAAGGGAGGCTGGAAGCGGAATGCGCGTGCCCAGTACAGCGCTATTCAGTCCGCAGGCTTTTTGAGGGTTTCAACTTCAAAGAAAGGTCGGCTTCGGGGCGGACTTTGCTTCAGTCCCAGGTCTCGGGAGAAGGCGGGGAGACAGACTGGGACACCGAGCCTGCACAAGGGGAGGGATCTTGAAATAGGCGGAAAGCGAGAATGCTCCCCTCCGGGCCCGGTTTGCCAGGCGAAGTGAGAAGCACTGAGGCCTGAGGAAGCTCCACGCGCGCGCAAAGGGCCGCTCGCTGTGATTACCGGGGTGGCGATGGTTGTGAGAACGCTGCTGCCCCGCCTGTGCCGAAAGGGAAACCCCAGGGGAGGCGGAGGCCAGCGGGGACCTGTGGTCCCCTTCATTCACGACGGACAGAAAGGGCGACCCCCCAAAGCCACTTCCAGATCTTGCGACGGGAGCAGAGTTACCACAGAGACGCCCGTCCCAACGCCCATCGGAAGTTTCAGTCCCCTAGATTCTGGCTGACGACGCGTCCCCAAGGCAAGTTCTTCGCAGCAGCCGACCCGCCCCACTCCGGACACAGCGAGGTCTGAGGACCACGTTGAGGCGTCATTTCCGTCGTGATCCGCGGCCGCTATGGAAGGGGCGGAGCCGCAGCGGAGAGCGCTCAGCTTAGACGTCATTTCCGGGGAGCCCAGCGGAGGCCACGGCAACATGGCCCTGAACGGCGCTGGTGAGGACTTGGGCTGCAGGGGCTTGTGGCTGTGGGTACGGGAGGCAGCCCACTGCGGCAAGATCCCAGTCTCTGTACCTCTCTTCCCCAGAAGTTGACGACCTCTCCTGGGAACCCCCAACTGAGGCGGAGACGAAGGTGCTGCAGGCGCGACGGGAGCGGCAAGATCGCATCTCCCGGCTCATGGGCGACTATCTGCTGCGCGGTTACCGCATGCTGGGAGAGACGTGCGCGGACTGCGGGGTAAGGCGAGACCCGGGAGAGTGACAGGGGATGGGGCCTTGGGCCAGGCCATTCAGCCCTTCCTCGGCCCTCCCCTCTGGACCTCATCGCCGCGTCTCATTCCGGCCCCTTGTGCCTTTTGGTCCGTAGACGATCCTCCTCCAAGACAAACAGCGGAAAATCTACTGCGTTGCTTGTCAAGAACTCGACTCAGATGTGGATAAAGATAATCCCGGTGAGGGTAAAATATAATCCGGGCAAGGTGCGGGGTGTGTGATTGGCGGAGAAACGTGATGAGTGGTGATAGAGGCCCGAGAACAGTAGGCCTGGGAGGTGACAGTGGAGTCTCTGGGTGGGGCAGAGGTAAAATGTTTTCTCCTTTAGGCTCTAAAGAGAACCATTCACTCAGTAAGAGTAGCAAGCACCTTCTGTATGCCAGCCACTGTGCGAGAGTCTGAGCTCAGTCAGACCCAGTACTGATGGAGAGTTGAAACTAGGGCATAAATGTGATACATAGTAGAAAGTGGATAAGTTGCCTTATAGAGGGACAGGGAAAACACCTCGAGCACAGAAAGAGCAGAGCAGAAAAGGAGATGGCTCAGGGCTGAGGTGGGCCAGGCATCCTGACCATTCTGCTCACTTCTCTTTTTAGCTCTGAATGCCCAGGCTGCCCTCTCCCAAGCTCGGGAGCACCAGCTGGCCTCAGCCTCAGAGCTCCCCCTGGGCTCTCGACCTGCGCCCCAGCCCCCAGTACCTCGTCCGGAGCACTGTGAGGGAGCCGCAGCAGGGCTCAAGTCAGCCCAGGGACCACCCCCTCCTGCTGTGCCTCCAAATGCAGATGTCATGGCCTGCACACAGACAGCCCTCTTGCAGAAGCTGACTTGGGCCTCCGCTGAACTGGGCGCTAGCACCTCCCTGGAGACTAGCATCCAGCTGTGTGGCCTTATCCGGGCGTGTGCGGAGGCCCTGCGCAGCTTGCAGCAGCTGCAGCACTGAGAGTAGCCCCTGAGAAAAACCCTCTAGAAAAACAGCTGTTCCTCTGTGTGGTTTGTTCTTTTCCTGGTTCTGAGTGTGCATGCCAGCCCCAGCTCCACTCACTTTTTTCAACTTTTGGCCTCTCACCTCTCCACTGTCTGCTCTCCTTGACGCCCTGAGATGAGTTGAGCCTGTTTCTGCTCAGTTTCCCCAGTCAGGATGAGGGATTAGCCAGAGGACTATGTGATGCCCCTTTTCTCAGGAAGAGGACATAGCCTCTTCAAAGGTAGGAGCCAGAGGGCTGGACCCTACCCTCGTCTCTGGCAGCACCTCTGCAACCTCTTCCGCCATCCGGTGCCCATTCCCCAACTGGAAGTGAGATTTTGGGTTCCAGTCCTCTTGATAGATTCCTCTCCTCCCCCTGAGCATTCTGACCCTATCACCCTATCCCAGCCATGCCCACCCCAGGTACTCAGACACCGACCGACAGGAGTTTGTGGTGACCCCAGTGTCAAGGAGCACGTTAGGCACCAAGTGTGGACTTGCCAGTCTCCTGACTCCACTGTTAGATCATTTTCCTTGGGAGGGTAATGGGCAGAACTCGGGGCTTGGGGGGCGGCGAGGAGCGGGGCGCGGCAGGGAGACGAGGCAGCAAAAAGAACCGCGAAGGGACCACGCCTGCCCCTTTTGGCCTTTCCTCCTCTCCGCCTCCCTTTTCCATCTCTTCTTGGGTGGGTGCCCTGCTGCCTTTCCTCAGCTTTGCGCAACGTGGTCCCACAGCTGTTGCCTTTTTAAGAGAGGCCCGGCCCATGCGGAGGGGGTGGGGCAGAGGCGGAGTCTGAGGAGCTTGGGAAGGAACAAAGCGCGGCCTGCGGGCGGTGGCTGGGCTCTGGCGGGGCCGCGGGGTGCGGGGCCTGCGGGCGGCGGCCCGGGCAGAACGTTGAAAGGAAGAAGGTGGCATCGCCGTCTCCGCCGGCCCGGCCATGAACGGGCTGCCCTCGGCCGAGGCGTCAAGCGGCGCGGGCTGCGCCCTGGCCGGGCTCCCACCGCTGCCGCGCGGCCTCAGCGGCCTCCTTAACGCAAGCGGGAGCTCGTGGCGGGAGTTGGAGCGCATCTACAGCCAGCGCAGCCGCATCCACGACGAGCTGAGCCGCGCCGCCCGCGCCCCGGACGGGCCCCGCCACGCAGCCGGCGCCGCCAACGCGGGACCCGCAGCCGGTCCTCGTCGTCCTGTCAACCTCGACTCGGCACTGGCCGCGCTACGCAAGGAGATGGTGAGTGGGTGGGCGCCGGACCAGCGGGGCGAGGGGCTGCCGCGGAGCGCAGAAACCCGGACAGGCTGCCTGGGTCTCAGAGAACTTGCAGGCACCGGTTGGGTTCCGAGGGTTATGGGAACGATAATTAGTGATAGTTACCAATTATGGCAATAGTTACCCTATATTTTCAGACGTTTTGCTGATGTGACTTCATTTCATCCTGCTAAATGCATGATAACCCCATTTTTTTAGGTGAGGGTCAGGACTTGCCTAAAGTTGCACAGCTTGCAGGTGGTGCCTGATGTCCACAAAAACTTTGTTTAGGAAGGTGCTGGGAAGATGGGCCCACGATTCCAGGGGATGGGGCTGGGCTGGGGTGGCTTGGACCCCAACTCCAGCCCACCCTCAGTTGTCTGCAGGTGGGGCTGCGGCAGTTGGACATGTCCCTGTTGTGCCAGCTGTGGGGCCTGTACGAATCAATCCAGGACTACAAACACCTGTGCCAAGACCTGAGCTTCTGCCAGGACCTGTCATCATCCCTCCATTCAGACAGCTCCTACCCACCTGATGCGGGCCTGTCTGACGACGATGAGCCTCCTGATGCCAGCCTGCCCCCTGACCCACCACCCCTCACTGTGCCCCAGACGCACAATGCCCGTGACCAGTGGCTGCAGGATGCCTTTCACATCAGCCTCTGAAGGGCTGGGGGGCAGGTGGGCATGCATCCATGCAGAAGGCTCAGAAGCCCCCCTCGGCGAGCCCTCAGACTGCAGAGCGTGCGCCTCCCCACACCGCCTCACCTCACAGGAGGGCCAGGCATGCATCCCTCAGAGGCGAAACTGCCAAACCCCTTCTCCTGTCTTGGGTTGGCTGGCACTGGGGCAGGCACCTAGAGTACAGCCTCTGCCCATGGCACTGGGCCTCCACTTCTTCCACATATGTGCACCCCCAGCTTGGCCAACCCTCAGCCTTGCGGTGGGGCCCAAAGCATCTTCCCCTCTCCTTGGCGTCTCTGGGATTGGGATGAGTGCCTGGCTCCCATCTGCTCACCTTTTGTTGCTATCGGCAGCTGCTGGCTCAGGGGCATCCCACCTCCGGGCTCCGGGTTCCTCTGTCCTGGAAGGGCTCCAGGACCCGTCCCTACACCCTCCCACGGCCAGAAGGGCCAAGGCCCCATGCTGGATATTTAAAGTTAGGGGCCGGCCTCCTGGGCGCGTAGATAAATAAATACTCTAAGCGTCACTGTGCTCTGGCTGGCTGGTTCTGGGGCGGGAAGACCGCGGTGTTTTGGGCAGGTGCGGCCCCGCGCTCTGCCGGCAGGTGGCGCCCGAGACCCCCGAGTGAAGGCCCTGCCGTCCTGCCCGGGCGGGGCTGGGGACGCTCAGGCTGGTTGAGCCTGTCTCCGCCGCTGAGTGACTGCGGTCGAGTCACTTCCCCTCTCGTCGGGGCCTTGGAGTGCCCCGCCCCGCCCCCTTCGGACTTTCCCTGCCGGCTGGGAAGGAGAAGGAGCCGCCCACCTTGAGGAGGGAAACTTTCCACCCCGCGCGGGGCGGGGTTGGGGCGGCGCAGGAAATGGGTGGCTGGAGTCGGCGGAGCAAGGGGCCCCGGGGTGGGGGAGGGGGGAGAGGGCGGGGAGGCGCCTTCGGGGATGGCCTGGAAGCTCAAGCCCTGCGGATGGGAGGGAGAGGCGGCGGCACAGGCGGAGGGGAGTGAAGTCGCGGCACCCCGGGCCTCCCCGGAGGCCAAGGCATGAGACTCCGCAGCGGTGGGGGGTGATTGGGGTCCCAGGCACCCTTATTCCCCCGCTCAGTCTGAAGACCGCCAGCTCTCCCCACAGCACTAGCGGCCTCTATAGTTATCTGTAAAAGGTTTTTATTAGGAAATCGGGGACCCACACCGCTGGGACTGGGAACCAAACTTAGGTGTCAGGCCCATCGGAAAAAGCCTGCACGTTAGGAGACGGTGGGTACTCAGCCCCCCGCGCGTGCACACTGTACCCCACAACCTCCTGAAAAGAAGTGAAGCCACACACCGAGGCGTGCGGACGAGCACTGCATCCCCGCGCCCTGCTGCAGACTCTTGCCTCCTGGAGATGCAGCCCATGGTAGTCCTGGCCCTCAGACATCCCTTTAAACCGAGTAGCAGTCGCGCACCGGGCTCCTGTCCATCCACACCTTGCAGAGCAGCGGGGAGGCAGCAAACTGACCTGTTGCCCCAGAGCAGCTGACACCTGCGGAGGCTCATTACCAAGCAGGGTGAGTGGGTAGGCCATAAGGGCTCTAATCTAGGGGTTCACAGAGCCGCTAACGCCCCAGGCAGGCTTTTCTCGGGGAGAGAGAGTAACATACACACAAAAACGACAGGTTTTCCCATCCATGATAGCGCATCCCTTTCAATAAGGCATGGCAAAATCAGCCAGCTCCCTGCTAAATGCTTTCTGAGGTTGCATCCTCTCAGTGATTCCGTAAAAGGCCTGTCTATAATTATCCCCATTTAACAGACATTGAAACTGAGGCTCAGAGCGTTAGCGCTTTGCCCATGGTTACACACTTGGTTGGAGGTCAGTTGTGAATCTCCAGCTGCTCGTCGTGGGTTGGGATTATCTTCACACTTGACAGCAGAGTCAGGTTCTCAGATTGCGGGAGGGTACCCCCCCACACAGGTATGGCCACCGAGGTTAGTCCTGACTCTACACCTTTTGCTCTGCTTAAGACGTGGGTGGCTGCACCCTGGAGTTGAGGAGAGCTGGTCCTCGTCCAGATTCACAGTATGACTGAGCAAGTCCCTTCCCCTTTCTGGGTCTCAGTTTTCCTAGATGGTGAAATGGGGCCAGCAGTACATACCTCCGGGGGCTGCGGGCAGGAAGGGAGGCGGCCCAGGCAGCTCTCTCTAGGGTGGCACCAAGTTTCGGGTTGCCCTCTCTCCGGGCCCAAGCGTCCCTCACCCGGCCAGTGGGGTCCAGGCAGCCTCTGCGCGCAGCAAGCGGGCGCTGCGGTCGGGCGACACCCCCTCCACACCCCCGCTCCCGCTCACACTCCCCGGTCACGACGCGAGGCCCCGGAAGCCGGGTTGCCCCGCCCCCACGCTCCTGCCCCGGCCCCCGCCCCGCGCCGGAGCCCCGCCCGCCTTCCGACGGGGGTGCGGCTCCAGGAAACGGCGCGCTCGAAGCTCTGCGCTCCGCCACCCGACGCGCTCCAGACCCAGACGACCCCACCGACTCAGCCAGACCATCCGACGGGCCCCAGCGGCGGCAGCGGAGAGCGCGATCCCGGGTTGGAGCCTGGGACACCTTAGCACGGACGGGGCGGGCAGCGCAGACAGGCCATGGGGACCCGGGCCAGGCCAGCGGAGGCGGGCCAGCGGGAGTCCCGAGCCTGAGAAGTGGGCAGCGGGGCAGCGGTGGCCATGACGTCGGTGTGGAAGCGCCTGCAGCGCGTGGGCAAGCGGGCAGCCAAGTTCCAGTTCGTGGCCTGTTACCACGAGCTGGTGTTGGAGTGCACCAAGAAATGGTGAGTGGCAGGAGGCCGGGGGTGGGGGGGGCTTCCCCCCCCCCCGCTGGCTGGGACCCCATCCGGCCTTTGAACCTGAGAGGACTCTGCCCCCAAGCCCAGTGACCAAATGGGCCCCCACCTCAGCTTGGGCCCTGGTTCCGTTCCCAGACTTGGAGATTCAGAGACCCTTGCAACTTGTGGGACCCCTGGAGTTGGGGGTATGGGCAGCCTTCCCTGCGTGGGGGTCAGGACTTTCAGGCCTGAGGCTCTGCCTGTGTCCACTCCCTCCTCTGCTGTGGTCAGGGCTGGGAGAGGGAGGCCGCATGTCTTCTGCCAGAAAGGTGGTTCAGGGTGGCGTGGAAAAGGGAGCACGTTTTGAGGTCTGCAGGTGGCCAGGGCTGGGACAGAAACCTCCCTGACCTTAGTCCACCCCACAACAGAGATGTTGCCCCTCCTCCCCTGCCATCTTGAGCCAGAAGAACCCCTCCAACTCCCGCCTCTTCAGCCAGAGTGTTGGGAGGCTGGAAACATCTCCACAATGTCCTTAAAAGGGTAAACTGAGTGCTGGGAGGAATGAGGAGGGAGGCGGGGGGCGGCTTAAAGGGGCCTGAGGACCTAGGAGTTGTGGGTCCGGGAGGAGAGGGCTGCAGAGGGCACAGTGGCTGGGTGAGGGGCGATTCACTTGAGGGTGCAGGCCCCAGCCCGGACTGCCAACAGACTCAGGGGCATCTCATTCACATGCCCCCACCCACAGCTGCTCAGGCCCCTGCGTCACACCCTAAATATACGTGCTCGCTGGTGTCAGCTTCCCTTGGCTGGATTAGGGCACAGCTGTGGGGGCCTCACCCACCAGGCGGGGCTAAATTTAGGCTCCCCAGGGGAAGGGCTGGGGCAGGAAGGGACCATGGGGTCCAGGGTGAGGGGAGTGAGCAGGAGGCTGGGGTCCCTTGGGCAGCTGCCTTGCCTACACTGGGCCTGCTGGAGGGCCGTTCACTCCATTCAGCAGAGCACCAGAGAGCTTGGGGGCTGGCACTTGAACTCTGGCCTCTGGCTCCTGCTCCAGCATCCTGAGGGAGGCCAGGGAAATGCTGGGCACGGCAGGCTGAGGGTGCCGGCAGTGTCAACGCAGCTGAGTCACAGGCAGCTGTGGGTAGGGCCTCCTGGGCTGCTTAGCCCGGAGCCCAGGCCGGGAAGCTGCCCCTGCCCAGGTCGCAGCTTCCCAGGAGGGCGTTCCCAGCCTGAGTCAGGCTGCCCAGCCAAGCCCCGCCTTCCCTAGGCACCCCCTGTCCGCTTCCCCTTTCTGGGAAGGCCCCTTAGTTACCCTTGCTCTGCCATTGCTGGCAGTTTGGGCTTGGGGAAGGGAACTTGGCTCTGGGCTGGAGGGCTCTAGGCTCAGCAGTATAACCTTATTTGGCTCCAAACCTCTCTGAGCCTCAGCATCCTCAGGGTTAACAGAAAGCCAGTTATCCTGGCTTGGCTCCCAGAGGAGCAGTGAGCTGGGCAAACCCGAGCATCTGGCGTGGGGCTGGGTACAGGCAAGGCAAGCTTGTGTGCTGCCCTCGGCCGATTGTTCCCTCAAGCATCACCTCTCCTGAGTAGCAGTTGAACATCTAACCCAAAGGGGCTCTCTGCCCCCAGGCCCGGCTGTGAGAGTCCACTTAGTGTCTGGGAATGGGCCCTGTGCAGCTGTCCCTCTCCTCTTGCTTTGCCTCTGCGTCCCCATATCTCTGCCTCTTGTGTGTCTGCCCCGGCATATACTGTTCTGCTTAGATGTCACCCCCTGCAAGTTTTCCCTGATTGCCCCGCAGGCTCCATTGTCATCATCTTGCTGCAAGGCTGATCCTCCTTAGGACCCCTGGGCCCAGCAAAGGGCTGGACATGGTCGGTGAGGGATGACGGTGTTGGTTAATGGCAAACTGACCCTCTGCTGCCTCTCTGGCCTCACCCCCAACTCTCTGACCTCATCCTCCAGCCACAGACCCTTGGACTTGCCATTCCCTCTTTCTCCAGATCCTCGCAGCCCATCTCCCGTCACTCATGTCTCTGCTGACACCCAACCTCAAGGAGACTCCCAAGGGGTTCCCTCACATCACCCTGAAGTTCACTTGTTAAAAGTATTTTCCTTCTTGACTGGTAGTCTGCCCCCACCTCCATTGTCCTCCCTGGGAAGTTCTTGCCTCTCCTTTGCCCTGCTCTGTCCCCAACACTGGGCTGGGTTTACAGTGGGTACTCCACAAACATCTGTGCATGAATGGATTTCTTTTACCCCGTCTTTGTCTCTATGTTGGAGTCTGCATGTGTGCGCGACACTCCAGTGCGCATCTGTGTCTGGCGTCTCTTGCCGCGTCCCTGTTTCTGTGTCTCGGTCTCTGTACATGCCTGTCCCTGTCTCTCTTGCTGTCTGTCCTCATAGTCAGTGCCTGCCCACACTGTCTGGGCCTTTGCCCTTCTGCTCCGGCCCCACCCTGCCTCAGCAGCTCCACCCTGCACCCTGTGGCCCCAGATAAGGGGCTGCCCAGGCCCTCTCCTGGAGGGAGGGGGAGGTGGGCAGAAGGAAGACCCTGAGGGAGCTGGGGGAGGAGGAGGAAGAGGAGATGGGGAGGCGGGTGAGCCTGACTAAGCAGCCCACTCCCTTCCCCATCCCACTCCCCCAGGCAGCCGGATAAGCTAGTGGTGGTATGGACCCGGCGGAACCGACGCATCTGCTCCAAGGTGGGGAAGGATGGCAACTGGGGGTCCAGATTAGGGATGTGGGCCAAGGGGAGGCTGAAGGCGGCAGATGGGGGAGTGGAGTCAGGTTCAAGTTCAGATCAGAATCCACAGAGGGGAGAGGAAGATGGTGTCAAGGTTGGTGATGGGGGTGGGGGTGAGAGGAAAGAGTTAAGATGGGGTGAGGACTTAGATTGCCCCTTGTAGGCCCACAGCTGGCAGCCGGGCATCCAGAACCCATACCGGGGCACTGTGGTGTGGATGGTACCTGAGAATGTGGACATCTCCGTGACCCTCTACAGGGTGAGTCTCTAGCCCCCCAGCATGGATGGCAATGGGCAGGCATTTGCAACCCAGGCAGTCACCAGGGTCTCCTGGTAAGTTGTTCATCCAGATAGAAGAGGATGTGGGGGGTGAGGCCAAGAACTGGGGGGACCTGCTCAGCATGACTGGCCCAGGAGGTCTCCTTGCAGAAGGCAGCATTTACCCACCCAACACATGTAGCATGAGAGGCAGCTGGGACCAGAACCTGGGCATTCCGGGAGGAGGAAGCAGCATGTGTAAAAGCTGCCACCCCGTGCCTGTAGTCCCAGCTACTCGGGAGGCTGAGGCACAAGAGTCACTTGAACCTGGGAGGCTGAGGTTGCAGTGAGCCAAGCACCACTGCACTTCTGCTTGGGTGACAGAAAAAACCCCCATCCAAAAAAAAAAAAAAAAAAAAGATGCCACCAAGCACCTCCTGAGCCAGCGCAGGCTCTACTCCCTTTGCTGTTGCCCCAGCAGCCCTGTCTCACCAGCACCCTTCTTCCCAGGACCCTCACATGGACCAGTATGAGGCCAAAGAGTGGACATTTATTATTGAAAATGTGAGTGTCTGGAGTGGGCTCGGGTCTGGAATCTTGGGGACCCTGGGACCGCACCGATGCCCCTTTCCCTTGTCTCCCCTCTGGCCCACAGGAGTCTAAGGGGCAGCGGAAAGTGCTGGCAACAGCTGAAGTGGACCTGGCCCGCCATGCAGGGCCCGTGCCCGCCCAGGTCCCGCTGAAGCTGCGGCTGAAGCCCAAGTCGGTGAAGGTGGTGCATGCTGAGCTGAGCCTCACTCTCTCAGGGGTGCTGCTGCGGGAGGGCCGTGCCACGTGAGTGCCCACCTGCCCTCCTTGACCCTGGCCTGTGACCTCTGACCCCCACCCTCACCTATGACCTCTGCCCCCTAGGGATGATGACATGCAGAGTCTCGCAAGCCTCATGAGTGTGAAGCCTAGTGATGTGGGCAACTTGGATGACTTTGCTGAGAGTGATGAAGACGAGGCTCATGGCCCAGCAGCCCCCGAGGCCCGTGCTCGAATCCCCCAGTCAGGTGGGCTCACAGCCTGCTGCAGATCAGGGCTGCCAAGACCTGGGGAGGGAGGGTTGCCCGGGCCACCAGCCACTGGTTGCTCCCGCCCTGTGATGGGAACTCGTTACTGCTTAGGCAGTCCCAACCAGCCCAGCAGCCTCGATTGTCTCAACCCGGCTGCCGGTCCCATGGTGGCCTCGGTCTTCAGCTGAGTCCTGGAGGATGGGTTCCCAATGCCTCCCTGGGCTCGTGGGTCATCTCCTCATCCCCACGTGGTGCTTGCCAGGCCCGTACCTGACCCAGGACAGTGGGTCAGAAGCCCAGCTCCTGATCGCTCACCACCAGCCCTCCTGGGCCAGCAGGGGCTTCGTCATCCCTCCCCGCTGCTTGTCCAGGCTTTTTCTCTGTCTGCTGTTGTGGTTCTCTCTCTCTTTCTCTTCACATCTGTGGGCCTGTCTCTTCTCGAAGGCCGGGGCGGTGCCCTGAGGCCGGGGCGTTTCCCAGGTAGGCCCTGCACTCTAGTTGGGGGGAGGGGGTCAGGCCTGCAGGGCCCTGCCCTCGGCTAACTCTGCCCTTTTCCCCGATCCTACCACCCCCAGATCCTTCTCGAGAGCTGAAGACGCTTTGCGAGGAGGAGGAGGAAGGCCGAGGACGACCCCAGCAGGCAGGTGAGGCCCAGGCTGGGGCTGGGGTAGGGACTGGACCCCAGGTCACCGGGGCCAGGCCTCAGCATCCCCCACTTCCTCTTCAGTTGCCAGCCCTTCTAGTGCTGAGGACACCAGCTCAGCCCCTGTGAGTGCTCCTGCACCCCCAGCCAGAGCCTCCCGAGGCCAGGGGTCAGAACGAGCTACTGAAGCTGGGGGCCAGGTGGGCCCTGAGGCCCCAAGGCCCCCGGAAACCTCAGCAGGGATGAGGTGAGCTTTGGAACCAGCCCCACTCCCCCATTGCCCCCGATAGGAACTGCATCCCTCACCCGATACCAACCTGCCTCTCCAGGGCCCCAACCATCTGAAGGGTGGGGGATGGTGCTGAGAACTGGGGGCATGTGAGCCCCCAGCATCCCTTCCTGCTCTCTTCTCAGGTCTTCAAGGCAGCCAGGCCAGGACGCGGCCCCCACCCCAGCCCCTCGGCTCCGGAAAGGCTCGGATGCCCTCCGGCCCTCAGTCCCCCAAGGGGAGGATGAGGTCCCCAAAGCCTCAGGGGCTCCCCTAGCAGGATTGGGCTCTGCCAGGGAGACCCAGGCCCAGGCACGACCTCAGGAAGGGACAGAAGCCCGTGGAGCTAGGCTGGGCCCAGGCATTGAGGAGAAAGGCTCTGGAGAGCCTTTTGGAGGGCAGAGACTCAAGGCTGAAGAGATGGGTACTGGGGACAGGCCAGAGGCCAGTGGGGGGGATGCTGAGGCCAGTCGGGGGAACACTGAGGCCAGTGGTGTGGACAGTGAGCCCAGGGCAGGAGGCAGAGAGGTCAACACTAAGAGGGCAGGAGTCAGAGCTGGGGAGGCTACAGAGAGTTCAGCAGTTTGTCAGGGGGATGCTGAGCAGAGGTTAAAGGTGGGACATGTGGACACTAAGGGACCAGCGGCAACAGGGGCGACCCCTGAGGCTCCTCCAAGGGGCTCTCAGGAGAGGGTGGGAGTCAGGACTAGGGATGAGGCTCCCTCAGGCCTGAGCCCGCCCCTAGTGGAGACTGCAGGGCACTCTGGGCATCTTGGTGACCTCCAGGGGGCCAGGGTTGCTGCAGGCCAGGAGAGAGAGGGTGCAGAAGTGAGGGGCGGAGCCCCTGGTATTGAGGGGACAGGCCGGGAGCAGGGCCCCTCTGTTGAAGCAACAAGCACCGGGCCACAGGTGAGCAGCTGGCAGGGGGTCCTGTTATCAGCTACCCAGGGGGCGATATCCAGGGTTCTGGGGGCCTGGGAGGCAGAAGCTGGGGGTTCACGGGTCCTGGAGACAGAGATTGAGGTGGTAGGGTTGGAGGTGCTGGGGGCCCAGGAGAAAGAAGTTGGGGGGTCAGGGTTCCCAGAGACGAGGACACTAGAGATTGAGGTACTGGGGGTCTTAGAGACAGAAGCAGCAAGCTCAAGGGTCCTGGAGGTGGAGGTTGCGGGGACAGCACAGTGTGAGGTACTGGAGACCCAGGAAACCCAGGTGGCGGTCACAGAGGCCCCAGGGACAGAGACTGGGGTGGCAGAATCTGAGGTATTGGGGACCCAGAAAACAGAGGCTGGGGGTTCAGGAGTTGTGGGGACAAGAACTAGGATAGCAGAGACTGAGATACTGGGGACCCATGAGATATCTGGGGACTCAGAGACACTGAGGCTGGAAGGTAAGATAGCAGAATCTGAGACGCAGGGGGCCCAGGAGACAGAGGTGAAAGATTCTAGGGTACCAGAGACAGAGGCTGAGGGGACAGAGGCTAAAACATTAGGGACCCAGGAGATAACAGCTAGGAGTTCAGGGGTCCCAGAGACAGAAGCTGAGATAGCAGAGTCTGAGATATTGGTAGCCCACGAGATAGAGATGAGGCTTTTGGGGGTCCCGGGGATAGAGACTGGGGCAGCAGAAGCTGCGATATTGGGGACCCAAGATATACCATCTGGGGATTCAGGGGTCCCAGGGATAGAAGCTGATATAACAGGGATCCAGGCTACAGAGGTGGGGGGTTCAGAAGTTCCAGGAATAGAGACTGGGACAGCAGAAGCTGTGATATTGGGGACCCAAGTGATAGCATCTAGGGGTTCAGGGGTCCCAGGGTTAGAATGTGAGGTAGCTGGGACCCAGAAGACAGAGGTGGGGGCGTCAGGGATCTCAGGGCCAGAATCTGAGGAAGGTGGGGCCCA